GGAGATGATGGGTTTTGGGGAGCGGTGGAGGCAATGGATTCATTTTTGTATATCTACTATTCGGATGCCCGTTTTGGTTAATGGGACACTAGCGGATTTCTTTCCCACTTGGAGAGGCTTACGTCAGGGCGACCCTTATCCCCTTTATTGTTCATTTTGGTTATGGAGAGGTTGAGTCGTTTGCTATACAGGGCAGTTCAAGGAAGTTTGTTATCGAGCTTTGAGGTGGGGGTGGGGTCTGATTCTTTGGTGGTTTCTCATCTTTTCTATGCTGATGATGCGCTGATTTTTTGTGATGCGGACGCTATTCAGATTGGCAATTTGCGGTGTGTGCTGTTATGTTTTGAGGCGGTGTCCGGCATTCGGGTCAATTGGCTAAGTCGGAATTGATCTCAGTGGGAGAAGTGGTTCGCTTACAAGTGTTGGCGGCTGTTTTGGGCTGTAAGGTGGCTATGTTACCAGTTTCTTATTTGGAACTTCCTTTGGGGGCTACCTTTAAGGAGACAAGGGTGTGGGATGGGGTGGTGGATAAAGTGCAACGGTGGGTTGTGGGGTGGAAGTGGCAGTACCTATCAAAAGGGGGGTGGGTTACTTTGATCAAGAGTGTCCTTTATAGTATTCCGACGTATTTTATGTTTGTGCATGTCATTTCTGTCGTGGCTAAGAGACTGGAGAAGCTTCAACGAGATTTTTTGTGGCGTGGAGGTGGGGGTGGGGAGGGTTTTCATTTCCATTTGGTGGATTGGGAGAGGGTTTGTATTCCTGAGGAGATGGGGTTTGGGCGTGAGAAGATTGGTGGTGTTCAATCGGGCTCTTTTAGGGAAGTAATTGTGGTGTTTTGTGGAGGAAAGGGAGTGGTTATGGAGGAGGGTGGTGGTGGCTAAATATGGAGAGGAGGGCGGGGTTGGTGTTCGAAGAGGGTGGTTCAATCTCATGGTCGTGGTTTATGGATGGGGATTTGGTTGGGGAGGAAGGACTTTTGGGGTAGGGTTTGGTTTAAAGTGGTGGGGGATCGTGTGGTGAGATGTCTTTGGAAGGGCATGGTTCCTGCGATATATGCTATTGCGGCTGATATGGAGGTGCTGGTTGCTTCAGTTAGGGTGAGGCAAGGGAACTCAGTTGTTTGGAACGTTCATCTTCGACGTGCGGTGCAGGATTGAGAGTTAGACCAATTGGTGGATCTTTTGGGCTTCTCGTATGGGTTGCAACAAGGGGGGAGGGGGTGGATTCTTTGGTATGGGAGGTTTGGAAGTCTAAGGGTGTATTACAGTCATTTTATAGGGTGCTTGTTGGGGGCGACATTGTCGTGCTTCCTTGGAAGAATATTTGGGTGATGGGATCTCCATCCAAGGTGGCTTTCTTCGTTTGGACGGTAGCTTTGGGTCGTATCCTTACTATTGACAATTTGATTCGGCGGCGCCATGTGTTAGTAAATTGGTGTTGTACGCGTTGTAGAGATGCAGAAATGGTGGATCATTTGTTGGTTCATTGCTCTGTTGTGTACCGGCTTTGGTGTTTGATTGTTGCTCTTTTTGGTGTGATTTGGGTGTAACTGGGGTCTGTGCGGGGTGTGTTGTTTCGCTGGGGCGGGTTGAGGGTGGGTAAGAGGAGTTGGAAGTCTTAGTTACATGCTTCCCTTTGCTTGTTATGGTTGGTTTGGTTGGAGCGTAATTGATGCATTTTTCAGAATGTGTCAGGCTTCTTATGGCGTTGCATAGTTGGGTTATGGGTTCGGTAGATCTTGATGTCTTGACGTTTGTACATTTTGTGGAGGGTTTGATTAGTTAGCTTTTGCGGGCCAGCGTGGGCTACTATTTTCCTTGTATTCTCTGCATCGTCTTGATGCCTTTTAAATAAAGTTGGCTTATTTATCCAAAAAAAAAAAAAATTGGAAAAAAGTCTGAAAATTTCCAGTGTCTATAATATATAGATTTTCGACCTCTACTGAAATTTGATCAACATTGATATTGTGAACTTCTAGTGCTGTCACTACTTTGCCAACCTTTGAAGGTAAACCAATTGCCTTGTTTTCAACCCCCACGCTCTTTGTACTTTTCATTGGATGACATTTGATCTGCAGATCATTACTATTGTGAAAATAAACATTGTTTCCAACCGAAATATTCTGAAAATTGACATATTTTTATCAGAACACTTTTCACTTATATAGCCTACCAAAATAGTTATAATGACAATAGTTTAACCCATCCAGTTATAGTAGCAGCATCTTTTTCTAATTCTGAAACAAGCATAGCCATAAATTCACTTTGGAAGCCTGGAACCATGGCCAGGGAACCCTCGCATTGAAGAAACATTGCAATAATAAAAGAGTTTACAATACCAAATTGTGCTCTATCTCACTCTTTTTTGAATAAGTAGGGTGTCGGGAAAGGGAAGGGGGAATTGGGGGTGGCAGTTGGCAGGAAATAGAAGGGGTTGGTTGGTGGCAATGGGTGCATTGCAGTGGGGGTGGCAATTAGTGGTGGTTATTTTTGTTGGTTTATATGTATACATGTACGTATGTGTGTGAATACGAGTTTAGTTCAGAGGAGAGGAAGAAGATGAGGGTATTTAGGTGATTTCAAGAACCATTAACAAAAGTTACCTGTGTGTTTTAGTTCACAAACCACAAGTAGCGATGTGCTTATTTCTTAATATTAGGAGGTAGGCTGCACATTCTACTTCACATGGGGTGAAGTGAATTTTGCCAACAAATGTCACCAACTTTAAAGAAGAGGTTGTGACTCAATGCAATGGCAAGTGCTACTTGCCTTGAGTCTTGTGGAGACGGTTTGAGTCACGAAGTCAGCCTCCCAACAAATAAGTGGGCGAAGACTGCGTACCTATTACCTCTTCCATTCCATGCTTAAAGCGGGAGCCTTGTGTAATGGGTACAACCTATTTAGGTCATATTTCTTAGGGTTTATTACACTTTATACTCCTAAACTATTGTCAAATTATCTATTTAGTCCTTGAACTATCGATTGTCTACTAGGTCCCTAAAGTATATAAGTCAAAGTCTATTTATTCCCTAAACTATCGATTGAATCGATTAAATCCCTAAAGTATTTAATTCAAATCTATTTATTTCTTAAAAGGATTACAAAAAGAAAATATAAACCAATAAGTATTATAAATTAGTAAAATACCTAATCTAGTTAAAATTTGATTTCAAATAAACTTTAATTTAATGTCTTTGAAAAGTGGCGTCAGTCCTTATGGTGAATTTCCTTTATAATAGTAAGTGTAATTATCTATAGTATTTTCTTAATTATCTTTTACAATGGCTACATGCTCTCCTTTATCATTATATGCTAGATTTCGTTTATAATTTCTAATTGATTGTTTTTAAATTTGTCGCTAAGTTCTTTTTATTACTTAATTCATGTATTATTTTGTTATACTATTATTTGTAATGAAGTGTTATTATTTAAATTATTTAATTATACTCTTTTAGTATATCTGATATTCATAGAATTTATTGACAAGAATGGGAAACGAGACTTTAATATTAATTTAAACACAGAACGAAATAAAAACACCTATTACAGACAAAATAAAAATTTTAGATTTTTCCTTAATAAAATCTTAATTGGGCAGGTGTTTTACTAATTTATAATACTTATGGGACTATAATTTATTTTTTCAATCTTTTTAGGGATTGAATAGGTTTGAATTAAATATTTTAGGACTTAATAGATTCACTTAATAGTTTAGGGACTAAATATACTTTGATTTATATAGTTTAGAGACTTAATAGATTCAATCAATAGTGTAGGGATTCAATAGACAATTTGGCAATAGTTTAGGGGTAGAAAATGTAATCAACCCTATTTCTTAATGATGTTAAAATATTACAAAGTTGTGTTTTCTTTAGACATTTTAGAGCAAAGATTGATTCCCAGTTAAATGCTTTTATGTTTTTAGGGCTATTATTTTAAGATCAATGTTGTCAAGGAAAATGTAGCCACTAAGTGTTCCCATATGAATGATTGTGTTTGGCTTTATGATAATTATTGATGCCTCATGACTTTTTTTTATTTTAAATTTCATTAGCAATAGATCTTTCATGACGTTCTCAACTTCCTACCCCCTTAAATCCCCAGAATAAAATGGTTGTCTTATGCCAATTTCAAGAATTTTCATGAATTTTTTGACGTTTTATTCAAACTCGATGATGGAAACAGAATGGTCTTGCTCATCATGTATTCAAAAGCATCAAAAAGCAATATTAGACATTCAATTAGTACACTGGCTCCACCTTTTGTTCTTAGTTGTTCCAGATGATGCTCTCATTTGTTGTCCACTACCTCTATATTTTGGTTCTTCGTTTTTATGTTCAAAGATCTAGCTTTATAATTTATGAATGATTTATTTAGATGCTCTAAACTTCTAATGAATAATACTTGAAAATAGACCCTGGCTAGAGAAATGTTTCTTCATTTGTGGTGAATTTTTTTTGGCTACATCTAATTCTTATTAAACTAAACGATGAAGTACACAAAATTTTGATCTTGTTACAGCGTAGAGTCCTCAATTACATTAATTGAGGCATCCTCAGGACTGTAATAGTCCTTGAAAAGTGCTCCTTTCTCAAGCTTCCACCTTTTCTTTTGATTAATTCTTGGGCCTTGCCTTCCTAACTACTCCAAATTACATCTTCCAGTGAATTTTAATTGTCTTGTTGGGAGTATTAAAGCACAGGCTTTTAAGAAGAGCATAATAGCATGTTGTATATACTCATTGAAAAAAGGAAACTGGCAACTAATTAGCTGTTACTGATCTGGTTTTACATTAGGAGGCGATTTCTTGTGTCCGCAAGTAATTTTAGTTCGCCAGATTTATGACCTTGTGAGGGGCTGCATTACTTTAAACTAACCTTTTCTAGAGCTGCAATTCTATCATTTTGGTTAATACCTGCAGTTGGAATGAACTCTTGCCTTTTCGTTGGACTTATGCAATCACATTTTTACTGAATTACGTAATTTATTATTATTCAGAAACTTGGGTCGTCTGGTCAGCGAATTGCTACAAGGTGTGGTCTTTGGTGGGTAGAAATGTTGAAGACAAGGGATCAGTTTAAAGAGGCTGCTACTGTTTACTTTCGTATTTCTGGTGAGGTAATACCCACGTTTTTTTATAACAACACTGAATAATAATATCTATGCTCTTCTCCTGAAATGCAACTTCTTTTAGGAACCCCTACATTCGGCTGTCATGCTGGAGCAAGCATCTTATTGCTACTTGTTTGCGAAACCACCAATGTTACGCAAATATGGATTCCATCTTGTTCTTTCAGGTGATCTGTATAAGAAATGTGATCAGGTAACTATATCACAAATCATGCAAAAGTTTCTTTGTGCGTAAATGCTGTAATTTTCTGAAAATATCTCCCTTGTTTGTCATCAGATGAAGCATGCAATTCGCACATACAGAGGTGCTTTAACTGTTTTTGAAGGAACTAAATGGAGCCATATCAGGGATCATGTTCATTTCCATATTGGAAAGTAAGTTCTAACGCATTTGCCAGTAGTTTGCATAATAAACACATTAGCAATTGTGGTATTAGTAATGTGCAAAGATATTTAACATACCTCACATGTAAACAGATGGTATGCATTTCTTGGGATGTTTGATGTGGCAATTAATCATACATTGGAAGTCCTGGCCTGTGGCCATCAATCGAAGACAACACAAGAGTTATTCCTGAGGGACTTTTTTCAAATTGTTCAGGTAATGTGTAACTGTCTAATAGCATTATCAGAGAAAGAAAAATGCAAGATTTTGTGTAGAGCTTAAACGGCCTAGTTTAACCTGTTGATCTGATTTGTTTAGCTGAGACCTGGCATGGCTTTTGCATCCTATTGACTTGAACTCTATAGAAAAATACCTAACATTTTTGTCACTAATTTATGGTTGATCTTTTTAATGGTCTGGGGCAATTGGTTTATGTTGATAGACTTTTTGGACTTTAACGGAATCCATTGCCAACTCCAGCTTAAATTTTTTTTTGAAGGAGAGACAGGAATGTGTAATGAGGAAGGTTTTGTTTTAAGTTTTTTGTTTTTTAAAATTTTTTTTTTATCATTTTGAATTTCTTTGACTTAGAAGCTCTTTGTTTTAAAGAAAATGGACAAGAATACTGGTTTTTTTGAGAAGTTTGTACTCACTAATGATAAGGGTGGAAGTTTGAGTCGAGCAGATTAAGTGGTTAGGAAGGTGAATGAAGTGGCTGGAAAGGACGAAAAGGTGCAACATTCCACTACACTCTGCCTTCGTAGATCCTTAGAAGAAGGGGGAGGAAATGGAGGATATCCTCTTGAATAATAATTTCATTTTGTCATACAACTTTTCCCACTTTGATCTTCTTTATACTCTCCTTTACCTTTGATACTCTTAAAATGCGAAAGAACCTATGATTAGTATTACTGCTAGAGTTATCAAGTTCTTCTAAACTCAAGTTTCTTGAATGATTTCTTAAATACATTCAAAGTAATTCCTTATTTATTTATCAAAAAAAAAAAATTCAAAGTAATTCCTTCACCGTTCCTTGTTCTCATCTTACTTAACTACTGTTATCTTATGCACTTAGGCCACGCTTGGGAATAAGCTTTTTTAGTAACTTTTTGGCTTTTTGACTAAAATGTGATGTAAAAAAAAACTAGTATGTTTGGGACTTTTTGACTTTTTACGAAAAAATATGCAAAAAGTAGAGAAAAAAGGAAATCTTTGACTTTTTGGTATTGGTATTGGTTGTTGGCTTTTTGATTTTTTTAATAACTTTTTGGCTTTTTGACTAAAAAAACCACTTGCCAAACGAGATGTAGTTTAGGATTCTTCCTTTTCTTCTTCTTAACTTGGCAAGTTTATATATATATATATATATTTTTCTCCATCCTTCTAATTTAACTTATGATAAAAGATCATCATAAGCCTTCAACTTAGCCTTACTAACTGCTTTCTTAACTTTGTTTTTTGCTAATTTATCTTTTATTTTTTGTTATTCCTATATATATATAGAAAGTTTTGTGGCACTCTCCTTTTGTTTTGATCGCTTTTTGAACCTCTTCATTCCACCAAGAAGTTTCTTTGGATTGTGTCTCACATTGCACACAATTTGTTTTCTCATTGGAAGTCCATTTTAGACAACCAAAATCCCGGTTTCGGAAGATCGGTTGTATCTTGCACCCCTGATCTTTCTTCCCTTGTTTTCATTATTGATTCTTTTCTTAAAATGGCCTAAACTTTCACCTTTTAAATCCCACCATCTAATTTAGGGGTGCCTACATTCTCTACCCTTCGTCTTCATATTCTAATTCCTACATTTAATACCATTATTCTGTGTTGTGCAATGAGCTTCTTTCCTACTATTACTTTACAATCGTTGCACGTTCCTTGATCAACTCTCCTGGTAATAAAAAAAATCTATTTGTCTAATATTTGTTCAACTTGTAAATATTATCAAGTGTTCATCCATTTTCTTATTGCTGGTGTTTACTATTACTATTACAAAACCATATGCATTGCAAATGCTAGGATAACACTACCTTCATATCCCTAATTACCTTTCCCTACATAAACATTAAGATCAGACTACCTATAAAAACTCTCACCACTTGGTATCCATAGTATTAATCAATCCAAATCCTTCAAAAATTGTCTTTTAATAGATCTAATCGAATTGGGGTGTGTAAGCACTAATTATATCTAGTGTCTTATCTCGTAACTCTAATTTCACCAAAATTATTGATATAGGATGGTTGGTAGAAGAAGAAAAATGTAAAAGAAAAATAATTCTCATCCAAATAAACAAAAGTAAACCCTAAATCTCAATATCAATATTCAACTATCCACAATTTTGTAGCATAACAGCCTATTTATAGGCAACCAAAGAAAACCGTAATTTAAATTACCCAAAATAAAAACTGCCATAATTAAAAGATTAAATAAAGCAGTAAAATCTGTTCGAATATAAATAAGAAAATAACATAAAATAAATCCCTAATTGTCTTCCAATTCCTTTGTTCCCTATCAATCATCTTTCCTCCCTTTCATTTAATCTCTTCCACTTGTTCTTTTAGATTTTTATCTACAATTGTGCCCCCTCCATTCCTATGTGTTTCTCTTTTCCAGTATACTGAAGTTTATATATGCACATATTTTTCAATTTCCTTAGGTTTTTTCCCTACCCATTTAGTTGCTTTTAAACAAATAATATTAATCTCCTAATCATATTCTCTGCCACTTTCATCCCTATTCTTATTAATGTTTCCTAAGAGTATTCTACTCTTGGGTATGCCTATGTACCCGCACTCATCCATTAAAGTGCGGAACCCTTGTCTACATCTCACCACTCCCAGGTGCCAAATGTGGTGTTGCCTGGGGGAATTCTATAACCCTTGGTCATTTATCACTACTCCTGAGTTTCTTTGCAGCACGTTGTAAGTAGGGAATGCCACAGCTGAAGAATTGTAAGGGTCCATGTTCATAAAGGTGTTATTGTAAGTTTTATGTTGTATGTCAAACCAACTACAACCCTCCTTTCTTTAGGCTTGTGACCGATTGTGTAAAAGATAAAACACTGAGCATGAACATACGTGGAGTTTCCTTCTTGCTGCTTAGAAGCATAAAAAATAAATTAGTATGGTGATCCATTTGGGGAAATGAAAATTGTTTCTGGTACCAAACAAAATGACTAACTTTTTCTAACCAAAGGTTTGACGACCAGAGTTGCAACAACTATAGAGGAATCAAGTTAATGTGTCATATAATGAAAGTGTGGGAGAGGGTGATAGAACGCAGATTGCGAGATATAACGGAGGTGTCAGAGAATCAATTTTGGTTTATGCCTGGCAGGTCAATAATGGAAGCGATTTATCTTTCGAGGAGAGTAATAGAAAAGTATAGAGAAAAGAAAAGAGACATTCATATGGTGTTTATCGACCTTGAGAAAGCATATGATAGAGTGTTCCGGGATATAATATGGTGGGTGTTAGCAAAGAAAGGGGTGACAAAAGGTTACATTGATGTGATTAGGGACATGTATGAAGGGGTGGTGACCACTATTAGATCGCCTGCTGGAGAGACAAATGAATTTCCTATCACTGTAGGGTTATACCAAGGATCTACCTTTAGTCCTTATCTTTTTGCTTTAGTTATGGATGAGTTGACGAAAAATATCCAGAATGGCGTGTCATGGTCTATGCTTTTTGCAAACGATATAGTGCTAGTGGATGAGACTAGAGTACTTAATACAAAGTTAGAGATTTGGAGAAAAACTCTTGAATCTAAAGGATTCCGGATAAGTAGGACTAAGACAGAGTACATGGAGTGTAAATTTAGTAACAGTAACATTGAAAGCAGAGGAGAAGTGAAGATTGAGAATCAAGAACTGCCTAAGAGTGAACATTTTCGTTATTTAGGGTCGATTATCACAACAGCGGGGGAGATTGATGCGGATGTGGCCCATAGGATTAAGGCGAAATGGTGTAAGTGGGAAGTGCATCTGGGGTACTGTGCGATAAGCGAATACCCATTAGACTTAAAGGTAAGTTCTATAGAACGGCTATTAGACCAGCAATGTTGTATGAGACGGAGTGTTAGGCAACCAAGAAACAACATGTAGATAAGATGAGTGTGGCTGAGATGAGAATGCTAAGGTGGATGTGTGGTAAGACTAGACAAGACAGAATTAGGAATGAGTGTATTCGGGAATGGGTAGGAGTAGCACCGATAGAAGATAAATTGAGAGAGAATCGATTGAGATGGTTTGGTCATATTTAACGGAGACCAACAAATGCAGTAGCGAAGAGATACGATGTTGTAACGGTAGCTGAAAGAGTTAGGGGACGGGATAAGCCTAGATTAACATTGGTTAGCGTTGTAAATAGAGATATGGATCTACTTAATTTGACTAACAATATGGCCTTTGATAGGGCCGTGTGGAGAAGAAGGATTCATGTAGCTGATCCCATTTGATGGGACTTAAGGCTTGGCTTGGTTTGGTTTGGTTTGGTTATTAAGAAGGATGTTTGAGTACTATTTTCTATATACCGACTAGGATTTGTGACTAGAATTTCCTTTACATTGTTTGGGTGGACAACCTTGTGATTTTGAGAGGGCAAGAAATAGTGATCCAATGCAGAACCATCAAATAGTTCTTCAACATTTACAATAATTTGAGTTGGATGGTCAGCCATCAAATTGTCACTTAGTTTTTCATTTTTGTTTTGTTATTATCAAGCTGTTTGACCTGAATGATAACTCTTTTTTACCATTGTTTTATTTGGATAAATATAGAAAACAGGGAAAACATTTGAGGTATCAATGCTTCAATTGCCTGTCATTGACATCCCTTCACTCAAGGTTGTTTTTGAAGATCATCGAACTTATGCATCGTCTGAAGCAGTAAGTTGTATTGTTTTTCCATTTGTAACCTGAAAGTTTGATGTCTTGGATAATAAGGGCCTGTTTGGTATCATTTTCATTTTCTTAGGTTTGTTTTTCGTTTTGTGTGTTTTCAGAAACAAAAACAATAAAGCTTCTTCTGTATTTGTGCCACTTCATGCTTTCGATAGTTTAAATCACGAGCTTGACAACTTTCATTTAAACTGTGAAAAAAAGTAACTCAAAAACTGAAAGACTTCTAACAGCTCAGACCAAAGCTTAAAACAAATAGTTTGATAATCTTTGTTAGCCATTGCATCCCAGTCATGTCATAAAGGGTAACTGCAGTTGGATGATCTTTGTTAGCCATTGCATGCTAGTCCTGTCATAAAGGGTGACAGGGAGCAACTGCCTACACCCAAGAAGGCTCTTAGCCAGCCAATTGTGTTAATAAGGTTTTGATGACGTCAAAGTTCATTTTGTCTGTGTTTGGCTCTTCAGTGCTGAATTTTCTATATTATCATCTAAAAATGTTATTTGACAAATGTTCTGTTAAAGATATAGAGAGGGAGGATAGATTCTAAACCTATGTTACTTGGAACGCGGATAATTCTGGTTTGAGGAATGGGAATGAGATATGCCACATGGTTGAAAATGTGGTAGTAGAGGTAGGGTTGTATGGATCACACAATCATACTACTAGAATTTAAATTTTAAGTTACTCTTCTGAAGGGTTGGTTTAGGATAGGCTATATAAGTAACTTTTTGGCTTTTTGACTAAAATATGAGTTGAAAAAAATAGTATGTTTCGGATATTTTTTAGCTTTTTACGAAAAAAACGTGCAAAAAGTAGAAAGGAAAATGAATCTTTGACTTGTTTGTATAGTTCTTTGGCTTTTTAACTTTGTTGGTAATTTTTTGGCTTTTTGGCTATTGTAGGGAGTTCCCAACCTTACTCTAAATGTGTGAGGAATTTTTGTTTTTATAATTTGATATTCAATAAAATATACTATATTATTTTTCAAATTAATCAAGTAAAAACACAATTGTAGAACTAGAAGCATTATGACTCTTTATTATCATTATTATTTTGGGCAACATTTACTTTACTCCTTTGTGGACTAAAAGTGCAATGCTAACTCCGTTAATAGCAAATGTAAAATGACCTTAGTAGCCCTATGTCTTATTTTTTCTTTTTTTTTTTAATATTCTATCATTCTGTTTCTTTTCTTATACAATTAATTTTAACTTAACCACATATTAACTAAATAAATCACTTATTATCCACAATTTTTTCTAACTTCAATTTCTAATTTAATCTTATATTACATTATAATATATATACACTATGCATATGTATGGTATAGGAATCTTAAATGAAAGAGGTCATTTGATGAGATCATGGGTTGCCACTATTGAAATTGTCATTAGACTCTTACGCCTTTAGATTTGGTTTGGGGGTCTCATGCTTGTGTCGTGCCCATTGCCTTCAGATCTGGTTTCGGAGGGGGTCACTTGCTTTAGATCTGATTTAATTTGCTTCTTTAATGTTGGTTTGATTTTGTTGATAGCCTTGATTTCGAAGAATTCAGATGGAAAGAGGGTGATTTACAGTCATGTGGGAGGATAGAGGGGTAACTGGAAGGGGGTCACTTGCTTTAGATCTGATTTAATTTGCTTCTTTAATGTTGGCTTGATTTTCTTGATAGCTATGATTTTGAAGAATTCAGATGAACAGAGGGTGATTTACAGTCATGTGGGAGGATAGAGGGGTAACAGGAAGGGGATTTACATTTTGTAAAGTGATTTGAAAACATTTTGTCATTTGTAAACTATGTTCTCTTGATTTTAGCTCATTATATTTCATGTTTTCTCTTAAGGAAAAATGTTAAGAAAATACATATGAAAACATTTTGGGATTGCTAAATTCACTATTTTGGAATAAAAGTATAGTGTGCTTGCTAAGAAGCATAGATACATATGACATGGCACAGACACCCTGATATGATAATTTAAAAAAAATATATATATATAGCAACAACATGATTTAAAAAAAAGAATAGTTGAAATGGCATTTGGGGTACATATGCAAAATATATAGTTTTATATATTTATTATTTGTCACAAATAGGATTACTTCATTTAGATATAATAAAAAAGTACAATATATTACTTCCAAAGTACCAAGGAGTGATTAATAGGTATAAATTTACATTAATTTTCTTTTTTGATTGGATTTTAGTTATTTTATTCAAACTTGTAATGTGTTTTATTTGTGTCTAAGTGGTTGACACGTGTCTCCCGAACGTCTGAAACATGTTTGGGTTTAAAAAATTGAAAAAAACAATAGGACGCGTTTGGACGTGTATCCAATACTTATCTGAAAGTGTTTTGCGGGTGTTGGTGTTCGATACATGCACACCATCTTCATAGAAGTATCTGTGCTTCTTAGATGTTTTGGAACATTTGTTCTAAAATGTAAATTGCTAGGGTATTAATATTTCCAGGTGACATTGTTCTAAACCGTCCAAGTCAATTCAGATGGTGTATAGTATGAAATGCGTTGCCAAATTCTCATAGTGATTATCCAATGTAGGAGTTGAACTTAAGTTTTTGGAAATTTTCACTTCCTAGCTATAAGATGAGCGACCCTAACAAAATGAACGACACCAACAACAATTATAACAATAGGAATATCAATAGTAAATGAGAGGGTAATTTATGATCTGGAGTTGGGCCGAGGTGATGGCCGAGCAGGTTGAGGGCCCAACGGTGTATGGGGCCGAGCTGATCAACTCTCCGCCCGGAAATGGGCTGCCAGAACTTGGGCTGGGCAGAGTTGGACTGAGTGTGTGCCAACCCGGACCGTACAGAAACCGCTCGGCCAGGAAGTGACCGGTCAGATCAGGATGTTCGGTTCGAGGAAGGTCGAAACCAGACAGACCGAGAGACCGACGCCCTGAAAGGCGCGGTCAGCCGAGGTATTAGATTGACCGCAAGAAGGCCAACCAAAGGAGGTGCCCGGGCTAGGCTTTGCCGAGATGCCGCCTAGCCCGGTCCTTCATGTGTTTGTCCGACTAGGCGCATGGGTTTGACGCATGGTACGACCGAGGTAGGGCAGCTCGGCTGCCGAGCTCTAGCTGTGCTGACAGGCAGTTGAGATTAGGTGATGAATGGCATGGTTTATGCTGACAGATGGGATAGCAGAGCCACGTGTCAGGAGATGACTGGGAGTGGATATGGGGCTCAGAAGGTATATAAGCATGTCTGCGCCCCCCATACGCGAGACACGAACATCTCTGTAAGAAATCCTTACACTCAAACACTCTCTCCCTTCTCTCTATTCCCTCTAAGGTGTGTGCTAACTTGACCGTCGGAGGGTTTTTCCGGCCACACACCGCCGGGTAGCTCACCCTTATTGTCTCGCAGGTGATCGGATATCGACGGAGCTTGGAAGAAAGGAATACGGGCACGCCGGAATATTTGCTCCCCGTACAGTAAATATTAATGATAAACAATATATAATAACAATAGTAAAGAAAAAAAATAGTAAAAATAATAATAATTATTGACAACTAGAACTAGAACAGGGACAGTAATTGGTAATGATGACAAAAGTAGGAATAATTATGAAGCAACACTAACAATGCCTACAAAAAGGTGACAATAGGCTATTGGGATCAATGGAACACATCAAACTGAGGCTTGTTACTCTCTGGCATCATCACAGATTTCATTTAAGAGTTTGGAAATTTCATTTAGAGGTTTTGAAATTAGGAAGTTCCATGATTATGTTGGGACTATTGTCGAAGACAATAGAGGGAGTGTTAGATCTGTGCAGTAATTTTATCCTTTGTTAGGTTGTTCACTGTCAAATCTTTGATGAGTACGTATGATATTTAAAATGAAGGTCACTCTTGGTAAAACCGAAGTTCATCAAGAATTTTCACCAAAAAGTACTGCCAAGTTTTCACATAACTTGAAGTTCTTGATTCCTCTGGGAGAGTTTTAAAATCTTCCGACAAGTATTTGCCAATGTCATCATTTAAGGAGTTCCACTATCCATTTTGGAAGGTTGTGAGGCATTGGCAGATTTACTTTCCAATCTGCCAAACAATTTTTTTTGTGCGTCTATTTTGAATTGTGGAATATGTTATGGAAAATAAGTATTTGAATATGACTAAAGTGTGTTCTATGCTGCACCAGTGTTTTCTTTTTTTGCATAGGTCATCATTCCCTTAGTTAATCTGAGATATAGACTCTATAACTCCATAACGTAAACTGTATTAAAGAATATAATCATATTGCTTATGTTTGGTTTCTTTTATTCCAAACTGTTTCTGCTATGGTAATCAATTGTTAGTTCGTGACTTAGCTTTGAATTTCTTGCTGCCTTTTCAAAACTCCAGGTTGGTGTTAAAGAAAGTCTGTGGCGGTCTTTGGAGGAGGACATAATGCCTTCATTGCCTACCATTAGGAGCAACTGGCTGGAACCACGAGCAAAACTCCTATCAAAAAAATTGAAAGAGTCGAATGTTTGTGTGGCAGGAGGTACGGAAGTGATAATATTTCAGTCAGTTGCATAATAAGATTGTGTAATTTCATGTGTTTGTTACCTTTTCCTACTTACCTCTGAAATGTGCTAATCACCTTATCTGTTTGAGGAAAAACAGTGTTTTTATGCTTATTATTTCTTACCTGAGCAGTTATTATCTTCATCATCATCACTATTTTCCTTTTTTCTTGTTTGCTTTAGTGGTTGGCTTTGGGGAGTTTGGTTGATAGGGCCAAGGTGGTGGGTTTTATGATTGGCCAGGATAGGGTCTCTATTTGTTATTTACTGCAGATAATGTTATTTTTGTCTCCTCTAGTGAGGAGATTATAATGTGGTTAATTTGCTTTTTATTCTTCAAATCTTTGAAATGGTTTTAGGGCTTAAGGTGAACTTGAATAAGAGATCCTTAGTTGGCATTAATATCCCACATAGTAGGTTACATAGGGTGGCTAGTTATCTTTGGTGCCCTATTATTGAGCCTTTGTTGATAAAATATTTGGGGATTTGTTAAGCATGTGTTTGGATCATGGATTTGACAATAAAGGATTTGTGAAAGAAATATAAGCTTTCCCCTCCACCCCACGTTTCCCTTCCATTTTCTTTTCCCTGCACAAACCCCCCCTCAAATTCAAGATCCAAACACAGCCTTGGGATAGACCTAAATCCAAAATTTTTTGGGCTCCAATTAGAGGATTTGCAAGAGGTTGGAAGTGTTATCTGGGGGCAGGGCTTACTCTAGATTAGTTGGTCTTGTCTAGTGTGCCAGTTTACTATCTTTATTTGTTTAGAATCCTGGTGTGTGGAAAATGAAATTGAAAAGATGATGAGAGATTTTTTATGGGAGAGAAGTGGTGAAGGGATGAAATATCACTTGATTAATTGGGGGGTAAACTGGCTTTCAAGTTCCAAAGAATAATTGAAGTCTTGCAGAGGGAATATTGTTCCTAAGATTATTGCTTGGCATGGTAAATGGTTGTGGAGATTTTTTATGGAGCATGATTCTTTATGATATGCTGTCATTAAAAACAAATATGGGATTCATGACAATGGTTGGGACTTCATCAGGTTAATGAGGGAACTCTCGATCTCCTTGGAAATCCATCTCTCTCTCTCTCTCTCTCTCTCTATATATATATATATCTTCATATCTTTGTTGATAATGGGAAGAATGTTTGGAGTGGTGAGGTTTCTTTTGTTCATTTATTTATTTTCGTTTGTGTCATTTATCCCGGTCTCATTATGCATCTGTTGCTTCGTGGTTTCATTTTATACATTTTCTATCGCTTGGAATTTTGATTTTTCTAGAATCTTAATGATTAAGAGGCTGATGAGCAATCTTTCATGTTGTCCATTCTTGGTGTTATTTCTTTGAGCCATGCGACCAATGATAGTTGATGATACTATTTTTTTCCTCTTCTAATGATGAGGTTAAGATGGTTAATCAATTATCTATTTTGTGGATTTACGAGATGATTTAAGGACCTAGGGTGAATTGAACAAGAGCTCTATTGTTGGAATCAATTTTCTACATGATAGGTTAACAAGGATGGACGGCTTATTAGGGTGAACTATTGAGTCTTTGCCCTTGAAGCATTTAGGGCTTCCTTTGGGGGGTACCTGCAGATCTGAGAATGTGGGCTTTTTTTATTGAGAAATTGGCATGTGGTTGGAGGGATAGAAAAGAGTACTCATATATGTGGTCAAGAGGCTTACTTTGGTTCATTTTATCTTGTCAAATGTACGAATCTATTACTTATCTTTATTCAGAATATCATTAAGTGGCAAATAAAATTGAAAAGAAGATGAGGGATTTCTTGTGTGAAGGAAGTGGGGAACAGAAGAAAGATCTCTTTATTTGTTGGGAAGTGGTGTCTGTGCAGTAATGGAACATTGTTGCTAAGAATTTTTCCTTGTTAGGAAAGTGATTATGGAGGTTTCCCATTGAGTGTGATTCTCTATGACACTCTATCATCAAAAGCAAGTATGGGGTGTGGGCCTATGATTGGGAATTCTTTGGGGTTGGTCAGGCCAATGAATGGGATTCGTTGGAGGTTGGTCTGAGATCTTCTTGATTCCCTTGGAAATTCATTTTTTAAGGTTCCTTACTCTTTCCTTAATATACGTGATTCATTGTGGGTGATGGGGAATATATTCAATTTTTGGTGGATGTATGGAGCGGTGAGGATTCTTTTATCATTTGTTCCCTCGTTTGTATTGTTTGTCTTGGGAGTTATAATGTATATATTGCTTATTGGGTTTCGTCTAATTGGATTCCTACTTCTTGGTACTTGAACTTTTTTTAGAAATCTTAATTATTAAAAATCAATTGAGTTAGCTTGTTTGTTAGCTATTCTTACAGTGTTTCTTTGAGTCATGTGATAGTTGCGAAAAGAATGTGGTCCATCCATTCTTTCAAAGTATTTTCTTTTAATTTCTTTTGTTTGATGCTATCATTGATGATCCTAGTGTACCAATGCCCCTAAAAGTTGTAAAGGTTTTACCTGGTCTAGGACTCATAAGTAACTCAATTCTAATGACATGATTCAAAAAATTAAACCGAATTGCCACCTACTTCCACAGTGGTGTGTTAAGTGCAAGTGGCGAGGAAAGCATTGATCATCTACTTACATTGTCCTGTGGCTATGGCCTTATGGTGGAAATTGTTTCAATAGGCCGATGTTGATTGGGTAGTCTCATTATCATCTTCTAGTGTTCATATGCTTATCATCAGTTTTTGGGCCTTTGGATTGAATGAGTAGGCACACACTCCCTGAAGATGTGTAGTTTTTGCAGTGATTTGGTACTATGGTTAGAAAGGAAGGCAATGTTTGAGGATATGTTAGAGGATATAGTGGTCTGTGGGACAAAATTTGTTATTCTACATTTTTTTGGGTATCGGTGTCCTTTTCCCCTTTAAGGGAATACTTTTGTACATAATTTGAGCAATAGGGATTAGAGAGCAGTGTGTGATATTGTTTTTTTTATTTGGTGGACTTCTTGTCTCTCAATTGTTTCTTTGTACTCTTTTTCTTTTCTTCAATATATTCTTTGTTGCTCATTAAAAACATAAACATATTGTAATCTGTCCATGACTGATATAGTTGGCAAGGTTTGGTTATAAATACCATAGAATCCATAGATACTGTAATCTATCATGTTCTTTATCTTATATTGTAATCTGTCATAGTTGGATTTACTTCATTTAGTATTATATCTTATATCACTAAAAACCTCATGCTTTCCCCTTGAAGTTCTGTAACTTTGTTACGTAACGGTTGTGGTGATCACCGCCACCCGTTACGGCCACTATAGCGGTGTGATGGAAATTCACATATGTAATGGCTATTTTGGTGTTACATAAAGGCCGCAACAGTACAGTAATGGCCATAACGGTCCGTTACACACCGTTACATCCCTTCATAATATTCTGAATAACTTCCTTTTCCCCCCAAAAAAAAAATATAAATTAATAAAAGCTTACAAAAAAAGAACAAATACTCAAGTAATTCAAGTGCAAAGAAAAAAATCTTATATGAATTTATTTTCTCTATATTTTTTTTAAATTTTTATTTCATTACATTAGCATGTAAAATAATATATATATAAACAGTAGTTGTATTTATTTTTATAATCATTTTATTTAATATTTAATTATAAATATATATTTTATTTTGTTACTGTAATGTGTTGTCTAAAAAATGTCTTTAAAAAACTCAAAAATATTTTTGTTTATGGCATAATTTTTATTTTTATTTTTATAATTATTTCATTTAATGCTTAATTGTAAATAATTTTATTTAGTTACTTGTAAAGTATTGTCTAAAAAAATGCCTCAAAAATAATTTTTGTTTATGACACAATTTTTATTTTTATAATCATTTCATTAAATGAAATTGTGAATATTTTTTATTCAATTAGTTCAGGTATTGATCAAAAATAATTTGTAGACATTTAAAATCAATTATTCTTAAAGTCATTAACTATTGAAATAAAATGTAAAAAACTCATTTTATAGTGATTTGAAAATATGAAATATATTGGATCATACTTAAAAATTAATCAAAATCTATTTTAAACCCTAATAAATGTGATTCTAGAAAAGAAAAAAAAAATATGCGTATTGGTAAGTTTTCTTCAAATTGTGTGAAAAATAAAAAAAAAAATCACGGTTCCCGTTACCGCAACAATTACACTACGGCCTTTATACTCTGCCACCGCAACCGTTACGGCGACCGCAACTGCTTTTTGAAACCTTGTTTTGTAGTGTTGAGGGGCACTTGTTGAGGAGGTAATGGACATAGGACAAGGCTGGAGGAGTGCATATTTGGGTTAGAGCCAAGTTGATCCAAAGAGAGTGAGGAAGATGTTTGCAATGACAGGTTCAGGAGTGTACTTTTATCTAGGGTCTCCAAGGCAGACTGACTTGAGGCGGGCTTTCTGACAAGGCAAACTGTTCTATATATACCAGAGTCCAAGTTTTATGGTAACTATAGTTGGGAAGGCCGGCATACTTGGTGAATCTAAATTGTCAGTTGGATGTGCCAGTTGGTATGTCAGGAATGGTCTTCAGAGCCAGCCACAGAGGTTTGCTAGTGCTCGAGTGTATGGGTAACACAGTCCAACATGTGTCCTGGAAGGAACTGTCTGCTTCATCCTCAAGGTCTTTAAGTGGGGTCATGTCTCATCGTACCCTAGCACTTGGTAGTTGTTGCATTGTATTTTATTTTATCTTTTTGTAGTGGGTAGACTTCTGTGCTGTAGCTGATACAAGTCGTAGGAAATTTCTTTCTTGTCTCCCTCTTGGAACTGACTTTCTTCTTGCTCTTCTTTCTCTACTCACTCTTATTTTTATAGAACCCTGGCACTAATTAAGTCAGTTTAATGCTGTTTTAGGCCTTCCTTTCCATATTTAATGTTTACGAATAAAATATTTTTTTGGGGCCTGATGCACTTTAATATAACCTAATATAATCCGTTTTTCTTTGTTTGCTTTGAAATCTATCCTCTCAATATTTTTATTAGTTCCAGTTGTGATGACTGCATTTTGAGCATACAGAGGGAATTAGCTCACTTGGTACTTTTTGTGGCAGAACAGTTGGAACCATCTTTGTAGTTTGAGCATGGATAATATATTAGCAAATGTTTATTTTTAATGCCTGTGAATTGAGTGCCATGAATGAATCATGCTGTAGGATAGGAAACTTATTCCAAGTCTGGAAGTAAGGCTTTAGTATAATGCACTGTTGTACACTTACGGTTGAATTGGGTTTTTGTTTCTACCCATTGTAGATTGTAAAGATGGCTAAAAGAATTATCATTACTAGTTTATCTGTCAGATGCATTTGATCCTATAAGGTTTGTGCTGTGGTAAACAACTTTCTGGTAGTACATGGGTGAACCGTGAATGCTTACTATCTCATGAGTTAATGATGCATTTTGACTTTTACTATCCAAGTTTGCAATCTCTCAATTTTTTGTTTATTTTTCAACAAAGAGCATCCTATGAGAATGAGATAAAGAGGAAAACAGGCAGTGTAGCTGTATTCCAATTTTTTGTTAATGTTTTGTTCTTCATCCGCTTGCAGAAGCAATTAAAGTAGAAATCGGATTCAAGAATCCACTTCAAATCCCTATTTCTATCTCTAGTGTTTCCCTAATATGTGAGCATTCTGCAAGATCTGATGAAATTGAAGTTGGTAAGTTACTATTGGTGCCCATTAATTTATCCATTTCTGGTCAATCGTTTCTTTCTTTAGTTTTACTGTTGTTGGATTTTTTAAGCCTAAAAGGTAATTTTATTTCAATGCTGCAGATCCAAATGGCACATCTACTGAGAATCAGAATGATGACCAATTCAGAAAATTAGCCACTAGTGGGTATGTGTATAAACTTTAAAATTTTCCCCTGAAATATCCTCTGTACTTATAAACATGTCTACACTTTGTCTTCATCTCAATTCCATGGTGCTTCCAATTGCTAAAGATAGTGCCACATGATAATTGCAGGGAATGTAGCTCAGAAATGTCCTCATTTACAGTGTCTGAGGTTGACATTTCATTGGGAGGAGGTGAAACACTTTTGGTGAGTTTTTCTTATGCATGGAGGACTTTCTTAATTCTCCCAAAGCCTGGCACCCTTTTGAATGACAGAATGTTGTGAATTTAACTGGTGCTTACTACAAAATTCATTGTGCATCTTTCTCTTGTGTACACATTGGTGTAGATTATGGTAGTTGTTGGTAATGGGTTTCCCATTCCTATGAAAGTTGACCTGTCATAAAACTATGAATGCATCTGATTTTATATATAAAATATGAATATATAATCAATTTGATTTCGTGGTTTTGACAGTCAATTAGCTACAAAATATTCCAAATTTGTTTATGTAATTGATATCTAGGGATAGTGATAGATGTGGTTTTGTTTCATATTCCAACGCCACTCTTTTGGATGGATATTGTTTACCTGTAAGTGGGGCATGAACAGGTACAAGGTTAGTCAAGTTGCTAAGTTTGCCACGCCACTCTTTGTGATTATTCCATTAAAGAGGTCGCGCAAAATATAATCCTATATATATTTTTTTCAAATTTCAATCCTAATCCGGAAACTGATAAATAAGTTTACTTTTTTAATTGTAATGTGATTTTTTAATTAAAGTGGAATACTTACTTGATATGATTGAATTAGTAATCGTTATTTTACCATGCCTAGTTGAGTGTTCTATCGACTTTGTGGTTTACCTACTCTAGTCAGAACTCAGATGCCCTTACCAAGTTACCATTAAACATGTTTTGTGTGTGTATGCGTTTCCTCTGTTGCAACCATTCATGAGATATTATTTTCTATTTCTTACTGGATGATCGAATTGTTTCTCTGTATAATTGGATGTTGCAACCACTCTATGCATCACTTAAATCTATGCAAATGATTTCTACTACTTAAAGCCTCCTTGTACACCTGAGAAATTGTATTGCGTTGGGGTTTTTTGATTACCAATGGGAGTTTCATAAATTCTCCTCTCTTTTTTTCAGGCACAATTAACTGTTACTCCCAGACTAGAAGGCACACTGAAAATAGTTGGTGTAAGGTGGAAATTGTCAGGTTCAGTAGCTGGTTTCTTTGACTTCAATTCCGACTTGGTAAAGAAGAAAGTTGCAAAGAAAAGAAGGAAAACTACACAGCCTACGACTGATAACCTGGAGTTTTTGGTGATTAAGGTACATAGTTTTTTTTTTCTTCGCCTTTTTTTTCTCTCACTTTTGTCATACACAAACCGGACATAGTTATAGTATTTATTTATTTATTATGTTTTCTATCTAACATAACTTCCTCTATGTCCAGACGCTGCCCAAGCTTGAGGGCTGCATTCGTCACCTTCCTAAAACAGTTTATGCAGGAGACTTACGGCTTCTTGATTTAGTGTTGAGGAACCCATTCGAAACTTCTGTGAAGGTATGTATTCTGTTTAATTATCTCAACTAAAATAACTATGTTCACCTATGCATGTCATAGTCACTAATATGTAGTGTATGGTTGTGCCCTCCATTTGGAGTATTATAATTGACCTTTAATCAACCAAAAGTTGAATTAAGAGTTGGCCTTTTTCTCCCCCCCTCACATACAATCTGCTTATTTTAAGAGCACCAAGGTGGGTCAACCCTTAAACATGTCAAGCATACAAGAGCTTCTATGAACCGTACGTTGCCTAACACATAAGAAATTAACGAATGAAACAGTAGACAAGGGCACCCTCCTGATGACCGCAAAGCAATCAACTAAGCATCAATTGCATCAACTTGTGTTCTGGCAGCTCCCCTGTGTCAATGCTTTCTACAGAATAGGGTATCCACAATCCCAACCTAACTCTTCTATTGACCCTGCCACTTGACCTTTACTCTAATACCTCATTTATATGCTTTATGTGAAACAATGTGTTCCCTTGTGGACATCTAATGAAACTGGAATCAGTTAATTTATATTTCTTTTTCAAGTTTATGAGTCATGACATCTTTTGGCAGAGTATAAAGATGAAGATCAACCATCCAAGATTTCTAAGTATTGGAAACCAGGAAGTTATGGATATGGAATTTCCTGCTTGCCTAGAAAAGATGAATTCTGCAGAGAGTGATGCACGGGTTAAAACCAATTCTACATCAGACACAGTGTTTCTGTTTCCAGAGGTCAGTACACAGTATCTTATCTAGACTACATGTTCGCACTTTAACACAATATGGGACAAGTCTTCATCCTTATTCATTTTCTTATTCTACTTCTGCAACCTCTCTCTCTCTCTCTCTTTCTCTCTCTCAGGATGCACTAATTCATGGAGAAACTCCATTCGTTTGGCCTCTTTGGCTTCGGGCTGCTACTCATGGAAACATTTCATTGTACATAACAATATATTATGAGATGGGAGATACATCAACCGTGATGAGATATCGCGTTTTGCGCATGCATTATAATTTAGAGGTATTCTCTTGGATGCAAAAGATTAGGATTTGATTACTTTATTGTTTTTTTTCACATTCTGAATGCCAGAAATAGCTAAATAAGTATTACTCTTTCGTGAATATTAATAATTAATGAGAGCTATGTTATTCTAATGTTTGAATAAACTAATAGCTACATAAGGAATTAAATTTTTGAGCTGTGCTATGTATGTTTGTTTTAATTGGATTAGCTGAAAAAAAAAAAATTGTCCTACTTTTTGGGTCTTCTGAAAATTAAGTTCTGTTGGTACTACATGTGACGTTATATTGATTGATTTGCTTATGTGGCTTTCAATTACTCTACCAACTGTTTGTTGCTATCACTTTTTTTCTAGTTATGTTGGACTTTGATATACATTTTTTTGAATCACTGCTCAACTCAGCCTTGATATGTATCCGTGCAATTGGAACTGTTCACTCATCCAGTAAATTTATCTTTTATAGGTGTTACCATCATTGGATTTGTCATTTCAAATTAGCCATTGTCCTTCAAGATTACAAGAGTTCCTTGTTCGGATGGATGTTGTCAACAGGACAAGTTCAAAGAGTTTCCAGGTTCATCAATTATCATCTGTTGGAAATAAGTGGGAAATCTCATTGCTTCAACCTATTGATAGCATTTTTCCTTCGGAACTCCTATTGGCTGGTCAAGCGCTGTCATGTTTTTTCAAGCTCAAGGTTGGTATGAGATAGTGCACCTTCATGTCCATTGGTTTATTAGGATTTTTTTGTCTTTGCCATGGAACAAAGATTTCATCGTTTCCTTTTTGTCTTATACATACTATTCTTCTCATGTTGCTCCTCCTTAGTGGTTACTCTTCATTATTATTTTTGTGGTAGTGGGAAAAATTTATTACCAAAAAATACAAGATGTTTACATATAGGCTTGAAACACATCCGACAAGGCTACACAAAGCACTCCTAAATCTCTCACAACCTGAGACCAGGCAGTAGCAAAATACAGAACACTTATCCTCTCACTGCCTTTCCCCAACTCTATATTGTTTAGGAGTACTTGACACTTTGTTGGTAGTTGTGAGACAGGGCTTCTTACAAATATAACTGGCAAAGGAGGGCAGGCTTCAGAGGACAAGATGTTCAAACCATCTATGCCTTTCGTGCTTGCAAAATCCAGACTACGCCTTACTACATCCTCGCATTTTTTAACACCCACACTCTAACCTGTTCTACCCCCTCACTCCTCCCTCTTCTCTGTTCCACCATTAGTTGCAGGAAACTCTTACGATCACACATTTCTGCTCTAAGTCCGTGATTTCATGGTTCAGAGTAAAAGTATTATTAGAATCTCATTCCCGTCTAGATAGAATCACAATTCCAATTTAGACGTGTCAATCCCAAATAAATAAAAGAAAAACTACCAATATAAAAGAAAATATGTGGAGAAGAAATATTTGTTATAGATTCTGGTTTTCCTTTTAGGAATTAAAGGATGTGGATTTATGATTATAGATCTTTCAATTTGGGGTTGCTAGGATTGAAGAGTGAAGATATATGTTATGGGTAATTAATTATTACTTTTTTAATGAGAATTTACTATGCTATGTTTAACAGTAGGTCCTAGTGTAATGTAGACATTTAACATTCTCAATGTGATTTCCACTAATTAATGATGGGCTTTTCCTATGTTAACCCAAAAACTTTACAACACTCAAAGATTTTCCCTAAGATCACCTACAACCTGTACAATCACAGATACAAGTTAAACAATTGGGTTTTCTTGACTCAACCCAAAACCAACAATCACTAAGAAACACAGCTTCGTAACACTTAACTAAGATGTTCACCAAGAGCTACCTTATGATGTCTCTATGTGAGACCAAATTTAGGTGTGCGTGTGTGACAATAGTGTATACAAACAACAATGTATAATACTTGGATGAAAATAAGTGACTTGGTATTTAAAGTTTTCGCAATCAACAGCTAGGTTTTGAAAACTTCCTAGTATGGCCCATTGACATGACCTACTAAAAGCCTTGGTCCCCCCACCACCTTTGGGAAAAGAATCAAGATCTAATTGGGTCGGCTCATGCCAAATGTTAGCTGACCCTTCGCAACTGTAGAGTGATCCACATTCTGGATCTCAACATGTTTTGGCCCAAACCATATGTTTGGTTGGCCCGCAATTTGGTCTGACGTATTGTTCCAATCTGAACCCTATATGGGCTACCACCCTATGTGGTTGTTCGCCACTGACCTAAACTACCTTGGTTGACCAACCTCCAAAGCTGTTCAACCAAGATGACCAAATGACCAGTATTGTCCATTCGTCAAGGTCTTCTTAGTCCTAGCCTTGTCCAAATCATTCTGGTCTTGAAGCTCTTCCATAGCATCTTCCATGCCGATGAAACTCACCCATAGCTCTTCAAACTTCCAAGGCTTTAGGGCTATGCCAAATGTGGTCTCCTGAATGGTAGTGTACCTAAGGTGCACATTATATGGTCATGAACTTGCGAACTCATGCTAGTCCTAACACTAACACCATCCACCAATCTCAGGGAGCTCTGCAATCCTCTTCCTTCTGACATCTCAGCGATATAAACATGGGTTTAATGTGATTAAATATGTATTATCAATTATTTAGTTCTTTTTCAACGTAACCAGATTTTTTGTATAAGAAAAAATTTCAACCTCGCCAAATTAGCTATTATTTTCTTTATATATACATATATATATATATATTTTTTTTTTCTGTTATTAAGTTACTTTGTGCTCAGAATGGCAGGAATTCTGTAATTGATAAAGATGAGGACTATTCTATTTCCACTTTGGAGGGATCTGATATCAGATTGAGCTGTAGCAGCAATGAACCTCTGTTTGATATATATAGGTCTCCTTTAGTTGATTTCCACCATTATGAGAGAGTGCACCAGGGAACGGCTCAGGTTGATTACTTTCTTGCAATATCATTTGTTTAATGTGATAATTATATGTAACAATTTTTCTTTTTATTATCATCATCTGTTGTAGCCCTATACCAGAACCCTATTGGGTGTGTTGTCCAATCTTGTTTCACTGTATCATACTACAAAAAGTAGGTCATTTAATCTGTTTATGGAGAAATTTATACGAAAGCTACAGGTTCTTAATATTTTTGCATGCACTGAAATATTTTCTATTGGACAATTGATGAAAGGGTGGGCAAGCAATGACCAGCTGAACTACGACATTCTCTATACAAAGTATGACTTATTGGATGATAAAGCTATCAAGCATTGTTCCTTTTATTTATTTTTATTAAACCAGTTAGCTGGGAAGTGCGGACACACACCTCTTTGGCCAGTGTTTGTGTCCAAACCTATGTTGGACACACAACACACATTTTAGGCTTTTCAAAACATTAACTACCATGTTGTTAGTGCATACTTGGGGTTTTTCAAAATACGCAAAGGGCTTTTTGTTCCCAATTATTTTTCCAAGATATAAACATGGAAAATGAATACTAATATTTTTTTTCTTGCCACGTCCCGTCATGTTTCTGCCCTGATTTTTTTTTTGAAAATTTTCGTGGCAGCACATTGATATCTTGTCGTGTCCATCTCAGTGTTTCTTTTGGTGCTTAGCACTGCATATTGAGGTTATGAGCTCTGCTAATTTGCTGCTTTATTGTCGCACTGAACTTCTTTTTAATTGGATCAGGAAAATCCAAATACAGTTGACTTCATATTGATCTCTCGGCCACAGAGGAGTGAAGGTGACTCTGAGCAACCCAACAACCTCTTCTCTCATCATGCATGTCATTGCAGGCAAAACTCTTTTACTTTATTATGTCTTTACTGTGAATAATTGGATTCTACATATTCTCAGTTTCTCTGTTGATATTTTAGTTCTTGCCTTTGACTAATAAAGAATGTATTCAGTATAATTTTTCTTGGTTCCTGTTTCCATCTCTCTTCTTCTTCTTCTATTTTTTAATTTATTTCAATTCTGTTTACAGTATTGCGAATACAAGCCCAATATGGTGGCTAATGGAAGGCCCACGGACCATACACCATAACTTCTCTTCTTCTTTCTGCAAAATAAAGCTTAAGATGACCGTCCACAATTCTTCTGATGCTGTTGCATCAATTCGCATTGAGAGATCTGATTCCACCTCTAGTGCCAATACAACTTCAGTTCCTTCTGGAAATGAAGCTGGGTGGCATGATATATCTCTGCTGAACGATGTTAAAGTCACATCCGATGTCCTTGGAACTCGAGTCGGGAAGTCACTTCCACAAGAGTGTGTTTCCCCATTCATTTGGTCTGGGACGAGTTCTACCCGATTCAAGCTCGAGCCAATGTCCACAACCGAAATTCCTCTCCAGATATGCGTCTTTTCGCCTGGTACATATGATCTGTCTAATTACATTCTACATTGGAATTGTTTACCGTCAAATGATCAAGTAAATCAAAGGGCTGGAGGAACAAAAAAGTCTTCAGGGACGTGCCAAGGGCATCCGTATTATCTTACAGTGCTGCAATCATCATGACCCTTTATCTGGTATGATTCGTCTTTCGACAATTTGCGAAATATCATATCTTGTTTGTATTAATTTCTGTTACCTTTAGTTTGTAAATTATATTCTTGTGATACATTTTATACGACAGTAGGAATTATGGAAAAAGGGTGGAAAAACAAAGAAGAGATGAGAAAAAGAAAAAAAAAGGAGCAGATTATTTTTTGTTGTTTACATAATAAGAGCGATGAAATTGAGTTGATTCGGTTACCTTTTTGGTATACTCACCTTCACTTTTAACTAATGATAGATGGCTTTTGTTTGTCAATTCAACTTTCTAGATCATTAGTGGCGGTTGCTGTCATATTGATTGTTGATTTTTTTTTTTTTGGATGACTTTGTTGATTTACTGAAATTTTCACCCCAAACATGTGATGATATAACTCCCATTTCTTTTGGCAAGTAGGCATTGGTTTAGGTTAAGTGTCAATTTGGTTTGTAATTACTCGGAAGGTTTGAATTCAACGAATTTAGATTACCAACGATTGAATCAAGAGTTCTATTTTGGTTGTAGGTGGTTAATTTATGGTCCATGTGATTTTTGCGAATATGTGAATTTGACCATGTCAAATGAGCTTTGAAAAATTAGATAATTTGATGTATTTATTTGAAAAATGTTGAAATATGATGTGTTTGGTTGAGGGATTTGAGGAGTGATTTAGAAAAGGAAAAGGAAAAGGTAAATGAAATGTGAATAAAATTTATATAATAAAGTAGGATGGGTTTTGAATCTTCAACATAATTTTGTCTTACTAGGGCATTTGGATGGCTCAGATTTGTTTGAGTTATAAAACAATGGTAGAGATATATTTTTCAAAAAATATTTTACATGTACATTTTTTACTTTTCCGCTTCTCTCTCTCTCTTTTTTTTTTTTCATCCATCCTTCCATGATTTCACCTTCCTCCTTTTCTTTTTGTTTTTTTTATTTTTTTCTATTCTTATTTTTCTCTCTATTTGTTTATTTTTTTTATTCTCCTTTTTGTTTAATATATTTTACACATATTTTCATACAATGAATGTATGTCGGTAATACACTAGGATATTATGGGCATACATACAATTTTTATATAATTATATAAGCAAAAGCAATATTGTATGTATGCTCGTGGAAATTGTATGTATGTCAGGCACATTTATCTATCTAATTATATATTATATAAACAAAAGTGAGTTTTCGTAAGGAGTTTTGTAAGAATTTCAAAATTTTGTAATAAATTTGTGAATTTATCAAATTAAAAAATAAATTTAAATAGTGTTGGGATTATAATTATATTCTAATCTTAATATTATTTAAACCGTGATTTCAGGTACGAGCATACACTAGTATACTTATATTTCACTTAGGCCTCGTTTGTAAATATGGTTTTTTAGTATTTTTTTGATTTTTTTGTTAAAATATGATGTAAAAAAATTAATATATTTAGGATAATTTTGTTATTTTTTACAAAAGAAATGTGTAAAAAGTAGAGACAAAACGGAATATTTTGGTATAAGTTGTTGGTTTTTTAATTTTTTTAATAATTTTTTAACTTTTAGGCTAAAAAATAATATTACCAAACAAGGCTTTAGTTTCACATTTTTTTTCTTTTTTTCTTTTTTAAATTTCTTTACAAATCCTTCGACCAAACACATAGTTAAATGAAATCTGAGTCACCAAAATTGGAGGCATTCTTAGAGAAGTGAGGGATACACAGGAAATATTGGGGAGGTCACTAGTTTGGGAGTAAGGATCCTCTCTTTCATCTCTCTCCTTTATTCCCTCCTTGCAAAGGTCTTCGGGTCCACTTTGAGGCCTAATTTTAATAATCCGAACCGTTCATATTTTAAGATTTATTCAGTGTATCATACCTATAAAAAATCAAGTTGATCGGATATTAAAAAGTATGCGTTCAGAAAATTGGGATTACAAACTATTTTTTAATAAACAATTTCCGAACACATATTTTTTGATATCCGATCAACTTGATTTTTTACAGGTATGATATACTGAATAAATCTTAAAATATAAACGGTTCGGATTATCAAAATTGGGCCTCAAAGTGGGTCCGAAAACCTTGCAAGGAGGGAATGAAGGAGAGAGATGAAGGAGAGGATCCCAATTCCTAGTTTGGTAGTGCATAATACAAGTCTCTTCAAGGGCCAGTGGAGAAACAAATGGAGAAAAAGATGTATGTAGGGCTGCGAACCAGTTGAATTGACTTGAAGTTTAGTAAGGTTAGACTTATATATTAAGATTTTAATGAATTTGAATTTAGAGTTGAGCTCAATAAAAATTTAATGATTTGAATTTTTTTTTTAAATATTAAATAAAATATATTTATAAAAAGTTAAGTTGATTGATTTTTGATAATTCTTTTATGACATAAAACGAGACTTTTTTAATGTTAAATTTTGTGTTCTTCATTTTATTCATAGCTCGTTTGAGAAGTTAGGTTTAGAGGTTTTTTTGACTAAAATAGTCATAAAAAAATAAAATAAGTTTTTTAATTTAATAAGACAAAACATCACATCCAACTTATAATCATTATATTTTTTTTTCATAAAAGTCAAAAGGCCAAAAAATTCATTCAAAATGAGACTTTTTAACCACAAGTTAAAATAGTAAAAAAAAAATTAAAAAGTCAACTCACTTCTCATGCGAACCCTCAAATTTGGCAACAAAATAATCTCTTATAGGGTAAATTATATTTTGCACTCCTACACTTTGTATCAAGTCTCACTTTGGCTCTTACACATAAAATTATGACAGTCAATCATCTGCACTTTTGGTCAAATCTCACTTTGATCCCTACACATGAAATTACGACAGTCAATCTCCTGTATTTTTGGTCAAATATCACTTTGGTCTGTACACAAGTGTCAATATCCCCATTTCTACTACTCACTTATTTAAATCTTTAATAGAATATAGTCATGTGATAACAATGTGACCACGACATGGGGATAAAAAAGAAAAATCTACATTTTTCACTAATACACACTTTATTTCAAAATTTACATTAAAATATGATTGTATTAGACTAAAACAAAATGCAGATTGTGAACAATTAAGAAGATGATTTAGGGTTATGCAAAAATTGAAATCACAAAACTCTGTTTTTCATAGTAACACAGTGTTCTGTTTATTCATCTTTCTTTTTCTTTGATTTCTTTTTCATATTTTTTATTTATTTCAAAAGTTCTACTTTCTTACATTTTCATCTCAATTTTTACCATACGAACATATATATATATATATATATATATTGTATTACATAACTCTTATATACTTGTCACGTAGGACAAAGTGTATTGATAGGAAATATAGATGATTTTCCGATTATCCTTATTTCGTAGCCACATTGTTGCTCACAAAAACAAAAACAAAAAAAAAGTTTACAAGTTTATTCTAAATGATACTTTTTAATCAGGTTAAAATAGTTAAAAAAATCAAAAAATCAAACTAAGAAATTTCTTCCCAAACGAAGCTTTGCTCTCCCGTTGAATGTTATCTTTTCATATAATTATGGATAAAAGAGATGATATATAAATAAAAAAATTTACATGTAGGATTTTCATATAGAAAAGTGTTACTTAAATTTTTTTTTTCTTACTTTATTTTCTCATTTTAAGACATAAGTGAGTCTCATATGCATTTATGAAACGCGAGTCTTATTATTTTGTGTCTAAGAGTAAGAAATAAAATAAGAAATGAGATTATATATAGGGGTGCTTGATAATGTAATTCAACACTTGAAACTGAATTGATTAAGTGATAATCAATTAAGCCCATTTGATAACCATAATTGATATCACTTAAAAATTTAAATATCTCATAAAATGTAGGTTAAAATTTAAGAAAATTTTAAGTCATACAAAACTTAGTTAATTATGATTGAATTTATAAATATTAAATATAAATATCGATATACACTATTATAAACTTACTAGCACTACAACCATCATGTCACCGCCATCTCTACCACCATGCAACTGCCATCGCCATCGGCATCACTACTACTACCACCACCACAACCACTACTATCATGTTACTATCACTACTACCACTTCCACCATCATTACTATCGCTACTATTACTACCACTACTATGCCGCCGCTACTACTACCACTACTATCATGCCGTCGCTATCGCTACTGCTACCACTACTATCACCACCACCACCACCTTCTACCATCACCTTCATCATCATTGTTATTATTACCACGAGCATCTCTATCATTTTACTACTGTCATCGCTACCACCACTACCACACCACTGCCACTGCCGCCACCACCGCCATGCCACTCCACCACTACCACCACCACCGCCATGCCACTCCACCACTACCACCACCACCATCACATTAGAAAAATTAAAATATACAATTTAAAAATAATAAATTTTAAATTTTATCATATACATATCAAATAATTTATTTTTAATTGAGCACTTAAATTTTTATCAAATAATATTTTAATTTAAACAAATCAATATTTAATTTTTAATACTTAGGGGTTGTTTAGGATGACCTAAATAAGTGCACTTTTTATCTTTTTACAAAAAAATATTCAGAAAAATAGAGAAGTGATGCGATGAAAAAAAAAAAAAAAATTATTTTAATATTGCCAAACTTAATCTTAATTTTTAATTTTCAACTTTACCGAACATCACCATAGTATTAATGGAGACTTTTTGCCGTAATAATAAAAATTATTTATTTTTGTAATATATTACCGTAATCATTGTAAAGAAAAGGAAAAGAAGAATAATTGTATAAAAAGTGACGTTGACTTTTGATCGAAACAAAACAATTCGCTATTGTTAAATAATTTGTAGGCCACAAAGAAGAATAATTGTATAAAAAGTGACGTTGACTTTTGATCGAAACAAAACAATTCGCTATTGTTAAATAATTTGTAGGCCACCAATGACAATAGGCCAACTCATTTGCTAGTTTCACATCATATTTCTCTTTGCAATTTTCTTTAATTGACTTCTCTTTTATAATTATACCAAACTTTTATTTTTATTTTTTCAAGGCATATATTATTTGGTTTTGAAACATTAAATAACTAAACTTTAAAAAAAAAAATAATAATAAATTATAAATACACTTTTAAAATTTACTTAAAATACAAATTATTCCTTATAATTTGAAAAATTATAAATGCACCTTTATTAGAATTTTTATTCAACAGAATTAACTAAAAAAATGAAATTCGTAATTGCTCTCTTATATAATTATAAAATTACCTGAATTATTAATTGAAACATATGTTTAATATCATTAAAAACTGTTAATTAACTTGATAATTTATTAATAAGAGGGACAATTTGTTATAAAATTATAAATCTCAAGAGGTGAAATGTAATTTTCAAAACTACAAAAAACGATTTCTATTTTAATCAAATCTCAAGAGATGTATTTATAATTTATTCAAAAAAAAATATTATATATATAATCAATCAACACATGTACATAAAATAAGATTCCATAAGGTGATATACTACATCCATAGGGCAAGTGTTCAAAATGATAATCACAAAAAAAATAAAATAAAAAATAACGATAATAATCTAAACTTGAATGAGTCTTCGTCCAACCAAAACCTGACCAATCACCCACCACCACCACCCTCAGTCAAATTTAGCCTCTTCAAAAAATAAAACTAAACAATCCCTTCAAAATAAAAAATGAAACATAGAGGAAACATTATAATGCATCGACGTGCAAAACAAAACCATGCACCACCCGACGGCGTGGCATTATTGTTATTTTTTGTTATTCCATGGCTTCACAGTGAAAAGCACCACAAAGAGGATGATAACCAAGAGTATGGTAATTCCAATACAAGTCCACTTCCTGGTATTCTTCTGGTGCCTCCTGGCCACACCAAGCTCCTGTGCTCCAACTCTGACAAAAGAGCTAGCCCTATTCACCTGATTCTCAATATCATCCAATTGCTCTCCTTGAGTCTCCACAAGCACTGCCATGTCCAGAAAAACTTGATGCAATTCCTTCAGATTCCTCTCCATCTCCTTCACTCCTTCATGCCTCTCTTGAATCTCCATTATCGTCTCCATCACTCTCCCTCTCCCTTGCTCCTGAATCGCCTTCTGCAAAAACGTCTCGCTCTCTCCCGTCGCAATCAACCGATCGATCGTCGATTCATCCGCCTTTTCACCTGTCACTGTGTAGTATCGTCGTTCAACTGTCTCTTTGTACTCGGCCGTGATTAATTGCCGGATATCTGTGAAACTATTCATCGAATCGTTCAGTTTTTTGCGGAGCCCGTTCACGACCGAGCTGCGTGTGCGATCCGAGGAGCTGCCGGGGCCGCACCCAGGGAGGCTGCGGTTGGCGGCGTTGTTGCGATCTAGGGCTTCCAGCCGGACTTTGATCACTTTGGCCTTTTTCAGAGCTGATGCCACGTCGTTGTCCATTCGAGATCGTAGATCTTTCACTGCTTTTGCGCTGTGGAGTGTTTTGCTTTGTTCGTGAGAGGTTTGGAGGTTGTGGTAGAGAGTTTCGAGGTCTCGGAGATCGTCTTTAATGGCTTCTACGTCTTCGAAGAACTTGTCGAGATTCACAGCTCCTCCTCCGCCGGTGGTGGCGGAATTCGACATCTGGACATTGCCTGGAGAGCCCTCGCTCCGGAACCGAGAGAATGAGCCTGAAAACAGATCGTTCATCTTGATTCTGCAAAATTCAGGAATCAAATTCTACAATTCCTATATATATATATGATGATGATGATGATGATGAAATTGTGGGTTTTTAGGAGAGATAAGTGAATTCAAGGGAAATGGAATTGGGGTTTTGTAGAGAGAGAGAGAGAGAGAGAGAGAGAGAGAGAGAGAGAGGGCGGGTTTCTGGATGAATATGAGTGCCGGCTTGATAGTCAAATAGGTCGCTGGTTCAACAAATGAGGAGAGAGGGAGAGACAGAGAATGGTCAACTGATGGTGATGAGAGAGAGTTTTAAGAAAGGGTCATAGGAGAGGGCTGAGTTTTACGCGGTAAAGAAAATTGAGAAATTTCGCAGAAACAGAGGTCTTTTGCGTATTAACATTAATTTGAAGGAGACGACGACGAAGAAAAACAGAAAAAAAAAAAAACAAAAAAAAGAAGTAGAATAGAAATTAGCAACACTAGAGGTAAAGCATTTATGTACATACAAATTAAATACAGTCACTAGTATGTCCCACTTTTTTTTTTTGGAACGGCAGTATGTCCCACGTTTTGCGAGAAAGTTGGAGGAAAATGTCATACATCTTAAATTTTTTATTAAATGAATGATTGAATATTTTATATAAGTTTGTGAATTTTATAAGATATTTAGTTATTTATTTGATAAAAAATTTTATATCTGTCATATTATCTAAAGTTATATCCAATTTTATGTTTAATTTTTGTGTTTTTAGCATTATTATTTTACAAAATATTTATCAAATACCTGTGTAATATGAAATATTTGGTAAAAATGTTAGGGCTTTTAGCATTATTCTATAAATTAATGATTGGATTAGGAATATGCTATTTTAATAATTTTTTAATTTTTTTGACTAAAATATTGGTTTGGAAATATGCTATTGGTTGGTCGTTTCACACACCAAATATAAACATTAAACTATATTAAATTCTTTAGAATAATAGTAAATTCAGGAATCGATCCACTGGGATAATTGTGAAATTAAACTAATTTAAATGTTAAATGTTAAATTTCTGAATTAATTTTGATAAAAAGATTAAAAGATATTATGACTAAACGAGAATTAAATGAAATTAAAAAAATTGAACTGACAATTAAAATTAGGGTTTGAGATATTGATTTTTTGAAAAATCTTGTGGCAAATAATTCATCACTAACCATATAAATAAGACATAACATCGGCCGTCAATTGTAATCCGGTTTGAACTACCCAATATTTCACAACTACAAGTTTGAAACATTGATCAAGAGAATGGTTGTGTTTAACTGTAGACGTTCCCGGACGTCCTGGGAGGGAATCCCGTTTTGTTCATTTGGGCTTACTACAGTTCGGACTCAAATGTCACGGTTCTTAATCTAATCCCGCAATGTGCAATGCGAGATTGATAAATCACCAAAGAGTCTAAATCTGGCAAATCGTTTTGAAAACAGATTTTTGAAAGAAGTGCCAAACATAGACTGCTTTGCCAGATACAGAGTCGCCACCTAAATATTTTATTTTGGGGAATTTAGAAAACCCTGACTCGTTGCTTAAGGCCACGTGTCCGTCATCACCAAAGTTGCCTCGGCTCGGGAACTTGGGTACGATTGGGGAAGGTCACTTCGTGAGCACCCCTGCTCGCCCGATCAAAGATCGGCCTCTACTAACCATGACATCTTGTTTTTTAAAACACATGTGCTCTTATTCCGATTATTAACCTAGAATTACTATGTGATGCGCACAACAAAACAAGTATAGACTAGATCACCTAATTTGGGACAAAGCATTGCATATCCGTTTGTTTGGAAATGGTTTGAAATTTGCTACTCGCAAGTAGGCTAAAACACGGATTCCAATGAATTGTTCCAATTCAAGCAATCCAGCCTTCACCCACAGGCATTTAGACAGTTATATCACATAAGCAATTAGCCTCACGGCAAGTATGCTGTCATGTTAACATTCACATACATGCAAGATGCTGAAGTATAAACACTCACAGTGTACTCCGAGCCAAAATAGGAAACTAGTTAGTAATCAATGCATGATCCTAGTTCATGTTAGCAATGGCTAATGCAACACATGCAAAATGTAGCTAGAATAGGCTTGGCTAACCTAAGGATGGCATGTGAAATGCGACAACTCGATACATGTTTTCAATTTGGAATTGGAATTGGAATACAATGCGGTTAGTATGATGCGCCGAGCCCGGTGCATGCAATACAGATGAATGATGCAAACATGCATAGCATAAGGATGCTAAATTAAATATGCCCTAAAACTAACCATCGTAAGCGGTTAAATAAAAGGGAGAAAGAAATGAGGTTGGAAGACATGCATCGCACACACACACACTTATTACACAATCACGCCCTCTCTCGGAGGGATCAAATAATACAAACCAAATAAATAATTAACTACTCTAGCTAAATAAATATTACAAAATCTCTAATTAATTAACAAATTAATTACAGAATAAATCTAAGTATGAAATTCAAGAGGCCGCCTCAGCTCCACCTCGGAATGATTGAATGATGCATGCTTGATTCGCCTCGCTCGGAAACCCGTTGTCATGCCACATGTTGCCTCTGTTTGCACTGTTCTGCACCTCTGAGGACTGTGAAAATTCTGGGAATGCTTCTGAATGACTCCCCGATCATTTTGGGATATCACCGGCCAAGATATCGGACCACCGGCTATGGAAATATGGTCATCGACCAGAAGTTGGGCCATCGGCTGGACTTTGGTAACCGGCCAGCACTGAAGAGGGCCGACCGGTCATCTGTTCCTGCAGAACTCTGTTTTTGCTGCAGCAGAGGACATACAGTGCATGTCAAGGAATTTACAAGATAATGTATGCACGACCACCCTCCCTATCATGCTATGAACTCAATGGGGTTTGGTTCTCGACCCTCGGGTCACCAATCACGCATTTCAATGCATGATGGCCAAAGGCGCCAAGTGTGCAATTTGATATCAAATAAAATGCACAAAAACACATAAGGGCCCCAACCTCTATCATGATTGATTCAAGAGGCAAGGGATGCGCACACAATGCTATGCAACCTAAGCATGCAAGCAAACTAATGCAACATGAGCATGCAAGCAACAATGCTATACAAGGCAACTAGCATATAATAATATGCAAAGACAAGCATGCAAACAAGCATGTAACTTAACAAGTATGCAAGATAGATGAACATGCAACAACATGTCAATAGGCTAACATTTAATAACATGCAAAGACAAGTATACTTAGACCAATGTAATACATGCATGATGAACTTAACAAAGAAACACAAGCATGCAATAGGCAATAGGCATACAACCTAAACATGTGAACATGTATAGCATGCAACAACATGCAAAATGAAACAAGCATGCAACAACATGGTGAGATGGACTTACACTAATATGGGTAGCTCTCAAGCATGCCAAAATTAGTGGCCAAACATGATGGAAATGAGGCAACAAAACACATGCAAACATGCAAGGTGCAAGGGCTCTAACTCATAGCACAAGATGCAACTCTCCTAGTGCATTGAAAAGATGAAGTATGGCATATAATGGCATATATTCCAGCTCTGAAATAATATACAAAATGGTTCTGAATCATGCAAATGACTCACACAATGCATGTAGGAAAGCTCAAATACCGAAACTAGTGAAGCACATTACACTAGAGGTATGCAAAGCGATACTCGAATGACCAAACCAACCCCAAACAGTCCCTATGCAGGCCCAAAATAGTGGCAAAATGGACTAAGATGATGCCTTGAAGTGCACAAAAATGAAGCTCATGCAATGGCTCACAAATGGGGTATATAAGCACAACTCTCAAACACATTGAATGCATGATAAACATGAGAATATGACACACTTATAAACTTTGAAATATCACATTCAATGATGTCAAAACACTAAAATGCCTCAAGCAACACATGCAAGAGACCCCAAAACTCAAAGGTAAGCAAGGCTATTACACTACAACCATGCATGGCAAGTACCAATCGACCAAGAGGCCTAAAAACAGAGCTAAGGCAGCCCAAAATATGAACAAAACATGTTTGGAGTGTGGCCAAAAGGTGCTAGAATAGAGGGCCAAAACAACATGCAATGTGAGCTAGTAAGCATGATTTACACTACAAGCCTATGAAGCATGTGAGGGGCCACCAAACCAGCCAAAACAGATTCATGGCATGCCAAATGATGGCCAAAAATCCACTGAAACATGGCCAATACATGCAAGAATGATGTACTACTTTGATAAGCTATGAAAGGGATTACTCTACATATGCAAGAGGCAAACAAAAGGGGACCAAACCAGCCATGGACAGAGGCTAGGCAGGTCCCAAAAGTCACCAAAAAGTTCCTGAAATAGGCCTCCAAATGATATAAACATATGCTCCTTTGATAGGCCAAATATGCTAGTAAACAAGACAACAAAGGAGAGGGGATGACCCTCTCATTTTTAGGACCTCAAAACACCATCCCCACCAGTGAAATCCCTCTGGATGGATTTCAGTGGTGAGAAGGCCAATACAAGGTGGTCCCGAAGCTCACAAAAAAGACACAAAAATGAAGCCAAGCAAGGCCTAAGAGAGGGTAAACAAACCCAAATATAAAAGTGATCTTAAACAAAGATTAAAAGCATAAAAAAATAGAACTTTTATCAGTTGTACACTAAGCTCAAAACAGCATGCAAGATAGGCTAAAATCTTGTGCAAAAATGGAGAATAAAGAGGGAAAATGAGTTACCCTTGTAGCTCAGTAAAACCAGCAGGTTCTTGGACCAAAAACCAGCTCTTTAACCTTTGAAAATACCCTCCAAGAACCTTAGATGAATGGTGGAGATGTGTGGTTGTGAGGTGGTGTACAAAAGGGCCAAGAATCTTACTCTTTTGAACATAAAATATAGAGATATAGAGAGAGATATATCTCTTGTGCCTTAGACAAATTTTTCAACCTCTCTAAAGGAGAGGGAGGCCCTCTCTTATAGAGAAACAAGAGGGTTCAAGCTTCTTGGAGAAGCTAGAGCAAAAGGTTCAAGCTTCTTTGAGCAGCTAGAGCAAGGCTTCAAAAGGTTCAAACTTCCTCAAGAAGCTAAAACAAAGGTTCAAAATCCTCCATACACGTGTATGGAGGATAGGGTCTGTGCCAGTTGGCACAAAATATTTACATAAAGCAGATGAACAGGGTTCGGCTAGCAAAAAATGGCCGATCGACCAACACCATGGCCAGCCGACTAAATAAAGTGCCGATCGGCCAATACACTTGGCCGGTGGCAAGAAAGCAAGGCCGGTGGGTT